TCTTGTTCCAGGTGCCAGCGACAGCCCTGTTCAGACTGGAAGCACAGGAGGCCATGTCCACCCAGGCCAGCAGGGTTCAAGGCCAGGCCAGTCTCGGCCCCGTCTGAGGGACAAGCTGACTGTTTTTCTGCAGAGTGGCGACTAACTCGGGCCCACAGTCCAGGGTGCTCTGATACCCAGAGGTTTTGCGACCAACTCATTTGCCAGCAAATCCAACATGTTGCTGTGCCATTATGCCGGTGCAGTGGGACTCTGCCTGCCTTCTGTGGGAGTCGGGGTGGCTGCTGCCTTCCAGAGCCACTAGGAGAAAGCATCAGGGTGCTGTCCCCAAAGCTGCAACATTCTCAACTCCAGATCGAGCCTGGCCCCAGAATTCCAGGCCAGGGACCCTGATTCCACACGCCCACATCCCAGGAGCACTGAGGGAATGAAATGTGATCATACTGCCCGGGATTGTGCATTTGAGGAAACTGAGGCCTGGAGCAGAAAGGCAGGGGTCTAAGGCACGTGGTCAATATGGACAGAAGTGAGGCCTGGGGGTGGGTCCTGGACTCCAGGTGCTCTTTCTGTGATGTCCCAGCCATGAGAAAGCAAAAAGGCAAGAAGGAGGATGCGGCAGCCTGCTCTGTGACCATAAGCAGGTCTCTTGCCCTCTCTGGGCCTTGGTTTCCCCACCAAGAGCAAACGAGGTGTAGGATGTGCGTGTGATTTTTGAGAGCCCTCTTGTCCCTGATACTTTTGGGGTTACAAGCAAGTAAAACACCTGTCAGGGACACTGGGGATGATTTGTACTCGTTTGTTTCAGTCCTGAGAAGACACTTCGTGGAGGCCCGGACTAGGAGGTCCCTTGGGGGTGGGGGTGGCGGTTCCGGGTGCAGCTCCAGTGAGGGGTGCTCCCGTGCCACTGGCTCAGTCTGCCTGCTGTGTGCCCGGGCTGCAGTGGGGGCAGCACTGCGTGAGGCCACAGGCCCAAGGGGGCCGGTGCCACTGCAGTGGGTTGACAACCCCATCACATCAATCAGACAAGGAAGAGACAGGGGGCTTTGGGAGGTTACCGGGCTTCTCCCTGACAAGCAGCCCAAAAGAGTGGCCGAGGCCGGTCTGAAGTCACATAGTCCTGTGTTCAAATCCAGCTCTGCCACTCGTTTGCCTTATGGCCCCATGCAGGTGCTTTCCTTTCCCGGGCCTCAGTTTACTCATCAGCTGAATGGGGAGAGCGTGACAACTATCTCAATGAACTGGGAGGACTCCCAGGGATGACGCATGCCGAGCAGGTGGCCCATGATGATACACCAAAGGCTGGCTGTTAGCTCTGCACCAGCTCTGAGCTCTGAGGGCCACAGGGAGGAGGGGAACACAGGGCAACACAAGACAGGACATTCTGCAGGACGACCTGCCAGAGGGCTTGAGAAAGCGCCACTTAACGGAGGAGGTAAGGGTGTATGCGCATGCATGTGGGGCTGTTGAGCCAGATTAAAAGGGAATTTAGGGCGACAACAACCAGCTGCCTGGTACTAGGCAGGATCCTGTGTATTCTGGGGTCAGCTGGGGAAAATGTGACCACAGACTGGGCATTAGAGATGAAAATGCACTGACACAGAATGACAATTATGAACAGAAACAGCAGGTGACCAAACAGCGCTTATACACCATCTCATTTTATTGAACAGTGCACACATGTGTGGGCACACGCGCGCGCGCGCGCGCACACACACACACACACACACGGAAAGGTGGAAGCCTTTCATGCAGGGAAACCTGTGAGCGGTAAAAACTCAGAGCTTTGACTTTATTTTTACTCACTGGAAGTTTCTCTCTACAGTGTATATATGCCACTTTTGTAACAGTAAAGGAATTTCTGATTTTAAAACTACAGCAGAAGTCCAGGCTCCAGAGCTGGAGGACCTGGTCTCACATGTAGCTCTCCGTCCCTTGCTGGAAGATGGCAGATGTCAAGAAACAGCCCCAGAGCTCCTCCCAAATTGGGTAGGAGCCAGGAAGGGCTTTGATGGGAGCACCTTCCAGGTGTCAGATGTGCAGTGAGGGGCCTCGTGAATGAGCGACAATGGAAATGGAGCCCGAGAGGCTGAGGGACCCAGGAGCCCGGCCGTACCCTTTGACCTAGAACTCCCACCAAATGCACTCGGTTGCCGTGGTCCATGGCCATGTTCTCAAGGAGGAATAAAAGTCCTCACCCATCTGGACATGGTGGCATGGTGGCACACGCCCGTAATCCCAGCACTCGGGAGGCTGAGGCAGAAGGACTGCTGGGAGTTCAAGGTCAGCCTGGTTTTTACAGTGAGAGCCTGTCTTGAAAAACCAAAAAAAAAAAAAAGTCCTCACCAAGAAGAAGAATATTAGCCCCATCCCAGCAGCTTCACAGCCTCTGGTGCAATCCGCTTTTATAGCCTGTTTCGCACTGTGAGACCTGTACCAGAGCTGGAATGTTCACTGCAAACTCAAGGCTGCACAGGTGGCTGTGAAAGCCACAGGCCAGAGCCGTGCTGCCTTGGGTGAGAGCGCTGTCTGGCAACGGGGCCGAGTGCTGGTCCTTCCCACAGGAAGGCAGGAGGCGGCAAAGCAGGTGGCACTAGCTACATTTCACTCACTGCGTTTCTCCAACAGTGAACCGAGGGGTCTCAACCTTGGGGCACTGCCCCAGGCTGGCACTGTCAACCAGCTCTGTGTGCCATTCTGGGGTGTCTGGGCCCTCACACAGAACTGACCAGCCAGACATCCTTATTTTTCAGCACAAAGCAGTTGCGACAGCGAACATTTACTGAGCACTTACTATGTGTCGGGCACAGCACCAATGGCTTTCTGTGCACCTTCTTGTGCAATCTCCCTGAAACTTCTATAACAAGGGTTTGGTTATTCTTCTCATTCTCTAGATGAGAGCCCAGCTCCAAGGTGAACTGGGTGCCCAAGGTCATGTGGCTCCCAAGCCACAGAGCTGAAATGGACCCCGGGCACAGCTAAAGGCTCAACCACCATGCTCCTCTCCGGAGACAACCTTGGGGTCCTCTAGCTCAGCGTCCTCAGCCTGGCTGCACACGAGGATCACCCGGGGGCTTGAAGAAGCTACTGGTGATGGTCTAGCCAAGAAGGCGTAACTGATGTATGTACAAGTGTCACATCAAAGACAGGTAGCTGGAAGTGGGTGGCACAGGGCCCATGTGGTGGCTGAAGCAGTGGCAGGTAAGAGGCTTCTCTGCCAAGGCACACAGTGCAAGTGGATAGGGCTGGCTGCTGCTCAAGGACTGACACTCTGCAGCGGAGGAGAGAGAGGGCCTCAGGCAGCGGGTGGGCTCTGGGGATCCAAGCCTCAGGACACCTTCACTTTCCCCAGGTCTATGGCGCATGCTGACAGAAGCTGAGGAGGCTCCCAAGCCCACCTCACCTCCTACAGGCCAGACAGCAGCTCTCGACCAGCGTCGTCACCAGTAGGGCTTGGTATGGGCTGCAGACCTACCCTGACTGAGCAGCCCTGAATCCAGAGGGAATACGGGGCCTCAGCATGGCTGACATCAACAACCACAACACTGTGTACAGAGCCGGGCCAGGCCCCAGCAGGCTGAGGGCAGGCTCCAGAGTCAAACTGGCTGTCTTAGTTACTTTTCTCATCACTGGGACAAATACCTTACATCCGAAGTTAAAGGGGGAAAGGTTTCTTTGGCTCACAGTTTGTAGAGGTTTCAGTCCATCATCAGTTGGCTCCAAGGCAGGGTGGAGTGGCAGACAGCTTTCACAGAGGAGAAACAGTTCATGGTGGGCAGAAGGTAGCAGAGCAAGCAAGCAAGGGACAGGATAAGCCTCTTTCTGTCCTGAATACTGTATCCAGGCTATCGGGATTGGGGTGGTGCCAAACCAATCAGTGGACTGATTGAGGAATCGCCCACTCTCAATCCCAGCATCACACACTCTAGATTCAGCCACCTCTGAAAAAGCCCCACCTATGATCAAAAGAGGCACTAGGGGTACATCTAGACCCAAACTAACACTGTCTGAGCTTCTATCCGCCTCCAGTGTGGTTTGGCTGTGTGGCCTTGGCCAAGTTTCTCAGTCTCACTGAGCTTTCATTTCCAGATCTGTAAACTAGGGATGAGACTAGCAATTACACTCTGAGATTAAAGGAGAGGATGGATGTGCAGTGCTTAGAACAAACAGGGCCTGGTCCACGTAAGTGCCATGTTACTGTTGTAAACATTATCTGTGAGGGTGGAGACAGGGAACCCCATCAGTGATGCTGGGCCAAGCTGGGGTGGGTGTCCTTCCTATTACTCTCATGTTCCCGGCAGTGACCCCAGGAAGGGCCCTGGGCTGGGCAGGGTGTGGGGCTGGAGCTCAGCCGCTGCTCTCTGGCCAGCTCCATCCCTTCAGCTTCCAGTCACCCTCCTGGTGAGGACACCGGGGAAGGGACCAGCTGCCCTCTAGTGGCCAAGGGCAAACACGCACAGAGCTGCCAGAGCCAAATCCTGCATCCGCTAAGCCTTATAGACCAGTGGCTCCCAGAGGTCCTACAGGCAACACGCTAGCTACAAGCATTTTCCATGGATTCCAGTTTCAGAAGCCACGTTGATTTGCATTAGAAAGTTCAAAGAGGACCAGGTGAGTACCAGGCCCTGGGGCCATGAACACAGGTTAAATCGGGGAGAAAGGGACATCCCGGGCTCCCACAGGTGTTTGGACCCATGGCTCACAAAGCCCCGTGCCTTGGTGGGTGCTTATGATGTAGGAGCTGGGAGCTTGCTTACCTGTCCCCGTCTGGGACAGCAGCCTGGTGGTGTGCTGGGGACCGGGAGCCATGGCCTGGCAGAGGAGCCTCTGTGCCTGTCAGCAAGGGCCATTGAGCAAACCCATCCATTCCCAAGACACACACAAAAGTGACCCACAGCCCTCATTTCCTTTCATTCCTTAAGAATTCCACCTGGAGAAGGTGCAGAGAACGGTGCGGGGGGCCTGATTCCCCCAACCCTCAGCTTTCTGGACACATGTGAAGCTTTGTTTTTGCAAGTTCTTTTTATTCCCGTTTGCTGTCATTTTTGCAAACTGCTTTAGCACAAGTGGGAGACAGCTTGCATCGACGCTGCCTTCACTCTGTCCTCCTTGACCTGAGGACAGAAGGCACAGGCCACTATCCTAGACCCTCCCCGGGGAGGGGGGGCAGCTAGCCAGGACAGCAGGCTGCACAAAGTGCTGGATGATGCCAACACACTGGTGCTGTGACAAGGGACAAGGGCCAGCCCGCTGGGCCAGGAAGGTTTCCTGGAGGAGGCAGAGGGGCCTGGGCCCTCAGGCTCGTGGAAGTGGGGCAGCAGAGGGAGAGAAGGCACATCGTGCTGGGTCCCGACCCATATCCCTGCACCCAGGCTGGGGAGACTGGGGTGCAGGCAGATGGACCCCTGACAGCTCTGGGGCCGCAGAAGCCGCTCCCATCTCAGATCTGGAGTCTCAGGGGACCCCATGGCTTCACCACCTGGCCAGCTCCGGAAACAGAGATGTGCCGCTCTGGCAGCGAAAGCCACCAAGGGCTCTGGGGCCCTGCCACTGGGACTCAAGGGGGCACGGCCAGGAGGAAGGACAGTAAGGAGGGGCTGGAGGCTTCTGAAGCGTCAATGTCAGGAGCTGGTGGTGCTGGTCCACACAGGTGAACTCAGCAAAGAGGAATCTGGAGAGGAGCTTCTCGGTGGGGCTGCAGCACCGTGCACTCATCTCAGAGGCCACCCAGGGCCTGGGAGATGGGATCGTGCAGGGAGGTGGCCAAGTGGATGGAAACGCCAGGGGCCCCAATGCTGGTCTCCCAGCAGTTGAAACCGCAGCCAGTCAGCGCCTGCTTTGCAGCCTCCACTTCGGCCCGCTCCAGATCTGGGGAAAGGCAGGTCACCACGATAGCCCTGAGTGTCCCAGCTTAGGGGACGTTCATGCCACTCAGAGAAAAGGCCCAGGATGCAGGCTGTCCTGGCTGCGACCACACCTGTGCCAACAGGCCTGCGGCTCAGAGGCTGCCGGCAGCCCCCACGCACTGGCCATGAAGGGCCCTGCGCCTGCCTAGCGGTTGGGTGCCAGTTAAACACACAGGCTCTTGCATCACGTGGACCTGGCCCTGCCACGTAATGGCCACGCAGCTCAGGCAAGTGACCCCTCTCTAAGCCTGTCTCCTCCTGAGGGAACAGGGACAATGGTCCTGAGCCCCATGGTCGCCAGCAGGCTGAGACGGGCAGCACGGTGCCGACTCTCACTGGCATCATTGGCCCTGTGCAGAACCAATGCCAGCACCTGGGGACATGGCCACCTCCTGAGGCTGGGGAGTCTCTGCTGAGGGCAAGAGGACATCTTGAAGCCCCCCGGGGGCTCAGTGTCAAGTGAAGAAGATGGAAACGGCGAGAAGAGGGAGAGGAGACCAAAGAGGAACATTTGGCACCTAGCAGACGCCTCCTGAGGACCTATCTCGAGGGGCAGATGTGGTGCTGGGTGGCAAACACCAGCAGTGTTCCTATGCTCAGTCCTCTTTTTCTCCAAAGGCCACCAAGAAAGAAACCCCTTCACTGTGTAGCAAGATCAACCCATCCTGGCCACACCATGAGCGAGTGTGCAGGGTGTGGGGGATACTGATGAGCACAGTGAATCTGGGCAATGGCCTTATAAGTAGATACTATCATCCTCGTTCCACCAGAGAGGAAACAAAGGCCCAGACAGGTCGATTAGCTTGCCCAAGGCCACACCGCAGAGCTGAGACTGGTTCTCAGGCCTCTGCTCCCTCCCCAGGGAATCCTCTTTGGACCATTCCTAAGAGTCCATTGGCGACCTGGCCTGTCCCAGTACCTGGCCTCAGGAGCGTGATGCCACAGCCACCGCCACCTGCTCCAGTGAGCTTGCTGTGCAGTCCATGGGCTCCGGCCACCTGGCAGAGCTGGTCCAGAGAGGTGTGGCCCACGCCGAGGGCATTCAGGAGGTACTGGTTCATGTCAATGAGCTCCTGGGGGAGAAGGGGCCACATGTTCCCTCCTGGCCTGCCCAGGCCACTGTCTTCCCTACCCAGACTGCAGGGGCCGCGGATGTGGGGTGGCTAATGCTCCATCGCCCAGCACACATCCCTCGCCACTAGTAAAAGGACCCCTCCCCCCTGTAGGACTTCCCATGGGGCTTGGATGGCAGAGTTCATCCTCCCACCATGGTGGCCCTGACCGAGAAGCCTCTGGCCCTTGTGACTGATCAAGCTTGGGCATGAAACCCAAGCTGGCGCAGCTGGGGGTCTCCTGGGGTTTTCTCTGCCTTTTTCCTCGGCAGCTGCTGAAACTTCAGACACAGGCTGCCCAAACTACCTGCCCTGCCACACGGTCACAGATTACATGAAAGATGGATTCGCAACCACATCAACCACTGGATCAAGCTATGCCTGAAGCTATTCCTCCTCTTCTCAGTTGGGAGCCAATACATTCCTTTTCTGCAGAAGCCTGGTTGAAATAGATTTCTGCCATTTGCAAAAAAAAAGTGTCAAATAATATGGCACCCTACAGCTGCCTCAGGGACGGATGTTCAGAATAGGAACTGGGTTATATTTCTAGCAAGGTCATGAGTAGGGGAAAGAGCTAAATATTTGTCTAGGTTTCTTTAATTATGCATAATAAAATTCCTGCTCTCCAAGAATCAAACAAAATGCATGTGGATGGAATAATAAAACCAACAGCTACCACTACCCGGCATCCGCTGTTTACATTTCATTTACCAAATGCACACAGCATGCTGGGTGCTGCCCTAGACACAGTACCAAGCACGAGCACCCACCCAGGCCCTGCCAGGCAGGGTTACAGACAAGTGCTCTGGAGGCAGGTGGGCTGGGTTTGGGCCTCAGCTCTGACCCTTCTTGGTCCTATGTCCTTAGGCTTGGTCCTTTTGCTCTGAGCTGGAGCTGGAAATGGGGCCACAAGAACGCCTGTCTGCCTTATTACTATGAGGATGAAATGAGGTGAATCTTTATAAGAGGTCTATTACAAGGAAATGCTCTGGAAACATCACCTGCTATGAGGACTTTTATAGGTATGTCACCACGGACCCTATTCTACAAAGGGGGAAACTGAGGCTGGGAAGAAAGCGCCCTGCTTAAGGTCACAGAGCTAGCAAGGCAGTAAGCCGGTGTGGAAAAACGTTCTGCCTGACACGGAGCTCCTGCCTACCTGCCTTCGACAGCGCCCCTCGCGTCCCTGCTGTCACCCACTTCCTCAGGAACACGCGGGGCTTAGTGTGCGGCTCGACAGCACGGGGCTCCACTCCAGGGCAGCAGAACATCTGTGCGTGAGTGCCAATCACCGAGCCACCTCTGTGGGCCCACAGCCATCGGCTGGCCAGGGCTGGCCGGCCCTCCCCCCAGCCCTCCCCCTGACCTCCTCCTGTCCCCTACACTTCCGACAAACGAGCAGACAGGCTTGATGGCCGAGTGGCAGCCCTGGGTGCCGCATGTGAGAGAAGACTTCTGGGGGCCTCGCTCTGCGCCTGAGCACCAGGTGTCACGCTGCTGAGGCAGGTTCCAGACACCTGTCACATTCTGATCCAAAATCTGTCAAGGATCAAATGACAGGCTGCGACATGGGGGAACAGCTCCCTGGTTTGACTGCAAAGCTGTCCAGGAGCTGAGCTGCACATTTCAACGGCTGCCATCGCCAAAAATATACACAATGTATAATCAACGTGCTGTTCCACAGCGTTCTCCGGGGGCTCAACAGGGTATATTTTAGGCAGTACTCTATCATTATTAATTTCCTACTCAGGGGGACATGTTTCCTCCTTTCTCTGTGGAAGGAATCAAGAGCCAAGGAGGCAAAGGCTGAGGAATGGAGGCAGCCGGTTGGGGAATGAGGGCCAAAGTGCAGGGATTACACGCAGGCCCTGCGCCCAGCACATAGTAGGTGCTCATCAAAGACGTGTGAATAAGCCAGGTGTAGGGAAGCATGCCTATAATCCCAGCTACTCAGGAGGAAGAAGCAGGAGGGTCACAAGTTTGAGGCCAGCCTGGGTAACTTAGACTCCATTTAAAAATTAAAAAAAAATTTTTTTTTTGGTACCAGTTATTGAACTCAGGACCTTGTGCTTGCGAGGCAGGCAGTGGAACCACTGAGCTAAATCCCCAGCCCTGTAAAAACAAAAAATTTTAAAAGGAGCCAGGAATATAGCTTAGCACTCCCCAGGTTCAATTCCCACAGAGAGGAAAAATCTGTTGAATAAAGGAATAAGCAAGTTGGTCAGTTTGACATCTGTCTCAGTCACTCACTAGCTGGATAAGCTAGGGGGAAGGAATTCCCTTTGGGCCTCAGTTTTTCTATCTGTGAAGTGGGAACGATAGGCCCGTGTCACAGGCAGGTTGCTGTGGGGAGCCACTGAGAAGTCACAGGTAAGAAAGAGGCTTGGTTTACCAGCAGCCCTCCTGCATGATGGGGGCTGCAGACTCAAGGGCCTATGGGATGAGAAGGTACACAGGCAGCAACTGCAGCAGCCGAGACCAGGCACAGCGGCAGGGACCGTGATGAGATGAAGACCACAAGGCCCCTTTTGGGGGGAATCCTGCCTGCACCTCCATTCACTGCTGCTGCACGGCCACGCCATTCTTGAAGCAAGGCCAGATGGCTTTCTAATACCACTCACATTTACAGGACCAGATGGACCGGGTCTGAGAAGGGGCCTCCTGGTTCCCTGAGCTGGTGGCACACCAGGTACTGTGCTGTGTGTCTCTCAGGGGACTCGGAAGGGGCTTAAGACATTCAGTGAGGCCGCCCAGCAAGCAGGGAGAGCTGGGCTTACATGACCTGCTCAGATCCAAAGCCTTACAGGAAAATTACGAAAATGGTGTCGGGTGGGGTTATGACAAAAACCTTTCTCAAGCCAGTCTGACCCAAAGCATGTAAGTGAACATACACAGCAGTAGCAGTGTGAGGCAGGCCAGGTCAGGATCACTCCTGGACCAGAGAGCCCCGTAGCAACAGGATCCCAGGTCTTCTGCCCTGTGTGCTCCCCAAACCCTAACCTACAGCGCCATGTGGCAGCACTGCCCTGAGCACTTGTGAATGGCTCAGGACAGCTTTGAAATAAGAGAAGCCTGCTCGCATGTGTGTACACTGACGCTGGCCCGGGCCCCAGGACTCTGACGGCTGGCTGCTGTGTTTTCTGGGGGGAGCTCACTTGGGCAGCCTGGTGTCTGCAGGTGCACCCTTACCTCCAGGATGAGGTACTGCTCCAGGGCCGGGGCAGCTGCCATCTCCCCCAGCACTCGCTCACACTCTCGGGATATGGCGTCTATTGAGGTCAGGACAGGGCTCACGATCTCTGGAAACTGCAGGGAAAGGAAGGTAGGCTGAGCCTAGGGCAGGGGCAGGTGGACCCTGGACAGCAGCCCTGCAGCAGAGGGTAGGGAGGGAAGAGTCCCCACCAGCCAGACCCATCTTCAGGGAGCTTCTCCTTCCAGCCTGGCCTTTGCCCTGCAGCTGTTCCTGACACCAGGCTACCAAGCCAGTGTGACAAATGAGCCAGACCACTGTTGTTTCACGAATCCCATCCTGCCTTCTAGCCAGGGTACGGGGATAGACAGTAGTTTCTTTTCTGCCAAAACTGCCTCCTCAAGTCTCCCTGTCCCTACCATGCCACCATAGGACCCATCCATAGCCCATGAGCCAGAGGGGGAGCTTGGAAATCCAAACATGACTCTGTCCTGCCCCGCCTGAAACCCGCCCGGGAAGGAAACAAGAAGCACCTTGATCAGCCTGTTCCTGACGCCAGCCACAAGGGCCTTGGTGCTTCGTGGGACCTTGGTGTTGGTTAGCAGGATCTGGAGAGCTGGGGGGCTGCAGGAGGCAGAGAAAGTAGGATGAGGAGCCAGATCAGGGGAGCAATCCAGGACTCCACCCACCCTGATACACAGGAGGAAGTGCAGGCCCAGGGAGAGGACATCAGACTGGGGAACACACAGATCGCATCAATGGCCGCAGTTTCTGTCCACCTCAGTGGCTGGGCAGACGGACATGGTCCCTTGGCTCCTCACTCACTCGAGCACTCACTGATGCAACATCAGTGGGGTACCTACTGTGTGCCTGGCATGAGGGAGCCCAGCTTGGCCTGAGGACAGGAGTAGACAGGGGAGAGGGAGGTCCTTGAAGGCTTCCCATGAGAATGGAGGAAGGGCAGGAAGCACACGGATCTCCAGCAGGGGAGTGGCGAGTACGCAGCCTGAGGGAGGTGGGCACAGCACATCTGTCCAACCAGCAGCACAAAGTGGTAGAGCCAGGGCAAGGGTGCCGGGGCAGCTGGACATGGGCTGGGTGGCACAGGGCCTAGGAGAAGCCCAACCAGCCTGTGCCATGCTGGCTAAGGGTCCCTTCCCCAAAGTGCTCGGGCCCAGTCGTGTTTCTGAATTGAGAGGTTCCGGATTTCAGAATATTTGTGTAGACTTTACTGGATGAGCGTCCCTAACCAGACAGTCAATGCTGGAGCAAGCTAGGGGCAGCAAGACAGTAGAGCGTGGCTCCAGGTCACTCAGTCCATCGCTGCCCCTCCTCAATGGTGGCCAGTGGCAAGAGCATAAACCCAGATGTGGAGGCAGGGAGTCGGAGCTGTCCATTCCTAAAGCCACAATCCCCTGTCCACGTGCTGAGCTGACCCGGGACCCACCCCCCTCCCTTTTCTGTCATCTAACCTTCTTTTCAGAGTGCTACAGCCTGGGCCAGAGGGCGGAGAATTTGGATGCGCTCTGGCCCGAGACAGCTGCAGGCCCAGGTCCCTTGACACCTTTATTCGCGCTTTCTTCACAGTTCAAGATTGTAAAATCCAACAGGGCTGGAAAAAGCTGCCAGAGACCCGCTTTATCTTACCGCCCATAAGCCCATGAAATTAATATCGATTCTCAGCCTTGGAGGCTGGCTTTTTCCTTTTTTTACTCTACAGAAGATGAACATTCTATTTGGCTTTTCTCTTCCCTTTAAAGACAAGCTGTTGCTCAAAAGGGCAGCGTTCTGGGAGGCCGCGTCTTGATCCACTTCACAAACAATGTGTTTTTTCATGGAGAAGCGCTATGCGTGCTTTGGGGGGAAAGGGTCCCTCTCTAAGCCATCCGTGGGATTAATGTGGAGCCGGCCTTCCGGCTCCTCGGAGGACCCGCCATCTGCTCACTGGCGCCCTGCAGCCTGCACCAAAGGTCGCTTTGCTCCGTTCCCACCCCCGGGGGTGGGGGGAGGGGCTGGTGCGGTGTATCTTCATCTTTCTCAGACAAGTCCTCTGTGAATGCACCTGCCGCTGGCCCCACAAAACCCAGGGCTCCAGAGATATCCAGTGACCCCCACTCAGGGCTGTGCCCTGGAAGCACTTACATGATCGGAGCCTGGCCACCTCTGACCTCACCTCAGCTCCTCCCTCCCCCCATGCACACCACAAAGTCATCCTGGCCTCCTCACTGCTGCACTATACACCTACTTTTCCTGCCCCAGGACCTTTGCACTTGCTTTTTTCCCTCCCCTGCCACTCCTCCCATAGCCACATGACTCATTTTTATTTCATCAGGTCTCTGCTCTAATACTCCCTCTAATCACATTCCCCCTTTACTCTTGAGTTCCTCACTCTGCTTTGCTTCCTGAAGGTACTGCGACTGCCTGACAAGCTCCCAAAGGTTGCCTGTGTCCCTAACAAGTATGAGTCCTGTGCAGGCAGAACCTTCTCTTCCCCCCTGCTGAGGCGCCAGCGCCCAGCACAGAGTAGGCACTTGATAATATCCTGAAGCAGCTGAATCATTTAGTCAGCAAACGAGGCACTTCAGGGTGCTGTTTCTGATCTATAAATGAGATGATGGAGGCCTTGGCAGAAGTGACTCAGCCAGGGCACCTGGTGGCAAGCAGCAGGGACAGAGCTCGAACCACGCTTGGGGATGACAGAGCCTCTGCCTGCTGCAGCAGGGACAAGCAGCAGCTCCTCTTCGCCGCTCAGCTCCTGCTCCCCCAATAGACTGCGCGCTCGAAGCTGGCTTCCTCTCTAGTGCTGAGGCTACCACTGGCTCCCGGGTCACCAGATGGATGGCACTGCCTCCACCTCCCTCCAGGACCTCCCACGTCTATGCCCTCGCTGTCCCCCAGGGCAGCTTTGGGACCCTCCGGCTGCCTTCCTTCTTCACCTTTGAGGCTCCCCTCACCCCCACTCTTCTCCACGTGGATGCAGGCCAGCTGGCAATGCTGACACCAAGGCCCGAGGCCCCTCCGCCACAACCCCTCACACAGGCAGGCAGAAGAAGCAATTCCATGCTCCTAAGTGGCCCTGCTTCCCTCCCTATGCAGAGCAGAAGTTGGTGCTAAAAGGACTTTGCCTTCCAGAGATACTGAGCAGGGTGGGGCGGCATTTTTGCCTGTCACGGCTGAGAGGTCTACTGGCTTCCATGAGCAGAGGCCAGGGACAGTGCTGAACACCCTCTAACGCACAGGACAGCCCTGCCACGAAGAATGACCTGGCCCCAAATGTCATTAGCAGTGCTGAAGCTGAGAAGTCTGGCCTGAATCAGGGAAGGCTCCTGGAAGCCAGCAGGGCCAGGACAGGAAGCTCCCACAGGAGCAGACAGGGCCAGGGCTGGCACTGGGACAGTCAGCGTTGTGCTGCTAATGGTCAGGACCAGCAGCCATCCACAAAAGATGCCCCCGGGGAAAGAGGCAAGAGACAGCACAGAGAGGCCCACTGAGGCAAGGAGGTGCCCTGGGACAACCACTGCCTGCTGCCCAGTGTAGCCCAGCTCCTGCATGGCACGGATTTAAGTCCCTGCATCTGACATTTCCACCACGGGTGCAAACAGGACAGAGGACGCCGACGTTTAATATGCGTGTCTGTCGTCTGCTCCAGAGGACGGGCTGCAGAAACACACAATCCAGGCTGAGCTTTGCCAACCACCCCTCTGCCCTAAGAGCCCACAAGTAGGCTTGGCCCTGCCTTGGCCTTGTGAGTCTCCATCAAGGCAACCATTATGCTGTCCTGCAGCAGCTTCTGTGTGTCCACCTGCCTCCATCGCAGCTGGGCGAGGGCACCGGAAACTGTCCGAGGTCCACCTGTATATTCCTAGTGCCCAGGATGTGCCGGGAGGAACACAGGAAGGCAGCACAACTGAACAGACAAATGAGCGCACAGACGAGTGAGAGGCCAGCGTCTGGGGACAGGCACTTTCTGGAAGGTGTAGAGACGGCCACATGTGACTCCCCTCTAATCTCCTGGCAACTTAAGAGCTGGTGTGGAGGAGAAACAGCAACTGCCAGGTGTTCGGTATGCTGGGTCCTCAAAGCCAGCACACTCAGGCCCACGGCAGGGCAGGAAGCCCAGGGACACCTTGCTCAGCAGTGCCCTCCCTAGACCTGTGGATGTGACTGCTCTGCCCCAGAGTTACCTGTTTAAGGATGAAATCTTCCCCTGCTGGTATCGGAGGGCTCCTCCTAGAGAGAACAAGGAGCTGGTCAGATAGGGAGAGCTCTGCATTGGCCCCTGGGGAGAGGGGCTGCACCGTGGGTTGGGCTTAGAGTATGGGCCATTGGGGAACAGGCCAAGCGAGACCCCCAGTCATAGCTTCGGCTGTTAGGGGCTTTGAGCCAGGAGGCTCTTACCAGGCCTGGGACTCTTGGGTGTTCCCCTCCTTCTAGGCTACCCAATTTCCCAGCACCAGGCCTCATGTGTGAGGTCAAGTATCTTCACCAGAGGGGCCCTGAGCGTGGCTCGCAAAGTGCACAGCAGTGGCTTGGCAGCTTGAGCATGGAGACCTCCCCGGGGGCCTCACTGAGGCTCATCCCCCAGAGACTAATTCGGGGGGTCCAAGGTAGAGCTGAGAGTCCCCTTACTGTTCCCCAAACAGGAAAATGCCCTTTTCCTCAGAATCCAATGATGCCATTCATCTCAAGCCAACAGAGCCAGAGCATCTACCAACGCAGTAAGACTCTTAATAACACAGACACAGACCGAGAGGCCATGGCGCACCTACCCCAGGTGCTGATGGCATTGTCCACGCCAGAGGGATTCCCGTGGATTACCCTCTCCCCACGGAAGGCCCACTGGTTAATTAACTCCAAATCCTCCTTGGGCCACCTGGAGACAGAAACACATCTTTACCATGGTGGTGGTAATGGGGCAATGGGCTCACTTCGGGCAAAGGTTGCAGGCTGAGTGTGGTGGAGAACAGAGGCAAAAGGCTGGGTGCAAGAGCTCAGAGGAAGAGCAAAGTGGCGCTGAGCCTCTCAGCTCAGACCTAGCCAAGCTTCCTTTCTCTTCCCTCCAAAACCCGCCTGGTGCAGTAGAAAAAACCTGGGCTTTTTCGTCTCTTCCTAGCTGAGTGCCCCCGGGCCTGTCACTTAGCCTCTCTGAGCTTGGCTCTCCTCAGCAGGGGAGTGGCTGACTCCACCTCCCTCAGAGGCTGGGTGTGTGGCCGAGGCTGGCGACGCACCCTACAAGTTGTCCACGTGCAGCAGCTGGGAAACGTGACAGGACAGGACTCCTCTGCGGGTGCCAGCTCCCGAGCCAAGCCCACCTTTGGGAAGAACGAACTGAGGGGAGGGGCGCTTCCCAAGGTCCTGGCGGCAGGTCTGCTGCACGATCATTATGGACTCTCACTCCAGAGGGGCCAGGCTCACAGTAGCCATCTCCAAGTCTCTCTGAAGCACGGAGGGCTTTCTACAGAGCAACCACTCATTTGCTGTGCAGCCTTGGGCAAGTCAGTTACCCACTCTGAGTCCCTTCTTCATCTGCCAAGGAGGATTTCACGGCCCTGCAACTCGCTCAGCAGCTGAGGGTGACAAGTCAAACCCGGTTAATGTTGTTCAGAGCTTTGCGCTGAATACTTTCTCAAATGGACCTGCTCTGTCATTGTCACCATAACCCCACAGGGAATGTGTGGTTATAAAAACCCTTCACACAGAAGGGGAAACTGAGGCTCAGGTGGGTAAAACAGCCTCTCCAAGCTACAGTGGTGCTCATGGGCACATCAGAACCACACAGGTCTGAACCATTAAATTTCACAGTACCTACAAGATTCACTCCCTCCCTCCCTCCTACTGAGCAACTACTACCATATGTGCCCGTGACTAAGCTCACAGAAGGAGGAACAGACATGGTCCCCAACTTCCCTGAGCCTGGAGTCTAAAGGTGAGAGCGGAAACCGGTGAACAATCAATATCTGAGGCATTGAACTCCACAGCGGTGCTCAGGTGAGTTCGGGTAGCTGAGTGGAGCAACCCTGTGCCCCAAGGGGGAGGAGGGCTGGGGTTGAGGGGAGGGGAGCCAGCCAGGAACGATAACAGGGACAGTGCTGAAGCCAAGGCACCAGCTGGTGCGGTGCCTGGGACTGGACCCAGCTGGTCCTGTCTGGGAAGTAAAAGGCAGCAGAGTGCCAGGGAAGAGGTGAGTGATGGAGGAGAAAGGCCTGCAGGTCACCAACCAGGCCCAGGCTCAGGCCCGACCCCTCACCAGGGCGAGGCTCTTTCCTACCCTGTTTGCAGTTCCTTGTTCAGGGGCTTGGACTCAAGCCTCCAGAGGACCCCAGGCTTGGGTTCCTTCGGGCTCAGAAATACCAGGGGTGAAGGGAGGGCAGGGGCCTGCTCCCCCCACAGGTCCTGCAGAGCAACTGGGTATTCTGGGAGGGCGGGAGAACTGGCCAGAAGCAGCATGGGAAAGACCATATGCCCGTGCTACCCTCTGCCTTTTGAAAAGCAGAGCCAGGTTCTTGGCCCTCTTTTAGGGGTCTATTCAGGGAACTCAGAGCCAGCAGGCCTTCACTGATCTGGGTTATGGCCAGAGATCAGCCCCCCAAGGAGTCATGGGTCAGGCCCTGACTTCCCGATGAGGAAAGGGAGCTCCAGAGAGCAAGGGCTGGCCAAGGTCATGCCACCAAGTAAACAAGCAAAGCCTCCGCAATCCCTGACGACAGCAGCCTGGCACTAACCAGGGCAATCTCTCATCGCTTCCCAACTCCTCCCTGACCAACAGTGGCTTCTGCTGCATCTTCCAAGCAGTCTCTTGTACACACGGAGCCACCCAGAGCTACTCTGGGGAGCCCACAGACCTGACCTGTGAGAACTGAAGTGGCCCTGGGACTCAGGCTGAGACCACAAAACAGAACCATGGACTTTTCATGGCTGAGAAGAAATAACTTAGTTCAAACCAAACTCAGGCGAACAGAGCTCTTTAGCCACAGACCAGAGTGCTGGTCATGGTGTCTTGTCCCTTTGTGCCCTGCTGAGGGCCTGTGAGGTGGTGACATAGCTACATCCATCCTGGCACTCAGGGCCATCTGAGCAGCCTTCTCTGCTGCTGGCTAAGCTGGGAGACAGAGGAGGCCAGCAGCCACCTGGGACAGCACAGCTGGGCTCAACAAGGCTGGTACCACAAACTCCCTGGTGGGGTGGGTCACTCCCGCACAACACAGGGCCCTCGGAGATGCTCACAGCAAAGCTGCTGGGGGCTGCTGGGGGCTTCTGGGGCTTCTGGGGCTTCTGGGCCTTCTCACGATGCCACAGGCCCTGGATAAACTGCAGGGCCACTCACGTTGGGAGGGGTCTCTTAGAGAATCCACAGGTGACAGAAATGGTCAGCCACCAGTGAGGACTGTGACACTCCCTCCACAGGGACAAAGGTGAGGGCCCAACAGACGCATCTCCTTATGTTGATTTTTCAGCACACTGTACCTTTTTTCCTGTAAGTATCTGCTCTGGCCTCACAATAAGCCTTCAGGCATTCTCACTAGTATTCAGAGGAGAACAGGGATGCTCTGAGGGGTGCAGTGAGTAGGCCCAGATCCCAAGCAAGCCGGTGCAGAGGTGCAAGGGTTTGTCTAGCCCACTGCCAGCTACATCCAGACTCAAGTTCTTTCTACCACACCACAGGCACCTGAACCCCAAAGAACAAAGATGGGAGTGAGGGACACACCATAGAATGAAGAGCTCAGTCTCTGGGTTCAGACCGTCCAGGTTCAAATCCTGCTCTCCCATCACTAGTAGTGCAGCCCTGGGCCAGCCATTTGGCCTCTCTAGGCCTCGTTTTCCTCACCTGGAAAATGGCCACTGGGCAGATCTCTCCTCACAGGGGGTTGGTGAGGTCCCACTGGGGGACTCTGGCTTGGGCCCTGACATGCAGGAAGGCACTGACCAGGGCAAGAGCTGTGATCACCTGCTGACGCTGTCCCCGTCCTTCAGTGGATTAGAGATGTCCTCACACATGGTCAAGAGGGTGGCTGCCAAGCACACAGAGTAGGCGGCACTGGAGCCCAAGCCCGCCCCAGGGGGCAGCTCAGACCACACGGTAATGTCCAGGCTCGGCAGGGCCCTGAAACACACCAGGGTGGAAAGCGTGACTCTCTCAAAGGGCATAGGGGACAGTGTTGAAGTCAGGGCTGGGGACCAGGACTGGACATTGGCCCGGACTGACCTGGAGATTTCCTGACCCCCTGCCCCCAAGCCAACCCCATGGGATGGCAGGAGCTCATGATGAATGAGAACCAGAAAACAGGTACTAGATTCATTTAAACCACTAGGATATCCAAAGTCTTCCCAAAAGTGTCCACCCCAGTCTCCTTCATGGCGTGCTCTTAGAGATAGCCAGTGACCCCCTTGGATCCCTTTTTTTCCACTAAGTTCCTAACCTCCTCTAAGATCTTCAATGTCGCTTGCTCTGTGATACTTTCCCAGATACTACAAGTGCCATTCCTATCTGCCCTCAAGGCTCCTGCCTGCCATCTTCCTCTCTGCTAGCTCATGGCAGTGTGTCTGATGGTGTGCCCATAGGGTGCCATTCGCATCATGGTATCCCCCGGTGTGAGCACCCCAGGCCTGACATGTGCTTCCCCAAGCAAGCTGTCAAACTTCAGGATTGGTACTTTCCATGAAGTGCCTTTCCCATTTTCCAAATAGAAAAACTGTAGCACTGGCTGAGTGTGGTAATGCATGCCTGTAATCCCAGCACTCTGGACGGCTGAGGCAGGAGGATCACACAAGGTCGAGCCCAGCCTGGGCAACTTACCAAAACCCTGTTTCAAAACAAAAAAGGGCAGGGGATGTAGACCAGTGCAAAGGCCTTGGGTTCAGTCCTTAGTACTGAAAACAAAAACAAAAACAAAAACACCCCAACATCTCGGAACGTGCCTTTTCAAAGGACATGTAGCCACCCTACCAAGACATGGAGATTCTGGAGCACACTCCCACTGACAGAACACGCCCCTCCCAGGTAACCCGTGAGCCAGACAGCAAGTGTGGGCCATGCATGCGTGTGTCCGAAGCACAGTGCCTGGCCACCAAGCCTGTGTCTGCCACTCACACGAAGCGCTGACCTTTGGATTCTGCATAGAAAATAACACTACACAAGCAGGTGTGGTGGCACCGATCATCTGAGCACTTGGGAGGATCTCAAGTTCGAGTCCAGCCTGGGTAATTCAGTGAAACTCTGTCTCAAAATAAAAAAATGAAAAAAGGTCTGGGGATATAACTCTGTGCGAAGGTCCTGAGTCAATCCCTGGTATCAAAACAAACAAACAAAAACAAAAAAGAACAACAAAAACCAAAACTACACATTCACTGCATGCTAGTTAGTGCTGGGCACCTCTTCTATATATTTCTAGTCCCCCCCCTTTCTTTTTTTTTTCGGTACTGGGGACTGAACTCGGGTCCTTGCACTTGCGCAGCAGGTGGCGAAACCACTGAGCTAAATCCCCGGCCCTCTAGTCCCCCTTTTTCTTTTTGTTTTCTGAGGAAATTATCAATAATAGTAATAGCTAGGTGCCAGCCTCTGTGCCAAACACTTGAGATAAATTAGCCTCATCACAGCCCCATGAGGTAGGTGCTGTCACAAGGACACTGAGGCTGAAAGAAGACAGGCGTCTAAAAGGAGCCAGCTAGTGAGGGTGAACCAGTACGACCTCCTCTCGCACCCAGAGACACTGTCTTGAGGGTGCTGTCACCCTCTGCTGCTGGCTTCCTCAGATCTTGTTGTAAAGGGAGGAAGGAACAACCGCTTCCGTGGAGCAGCAGGATATGGCGGGAAGGTGCCTCTGCAGCCAAGCCCCGGGAGAGGCCACACCGTGGGCCCAGCAGTGGAAATGGCTTTGGCTCTATTGAAAGGAAGAGAACAGAGGAGGAAGTAGGGCTGGGCATGTCAGTGTGGGTGTCAGAGCCAAGGGATTACCATTCCAGCTCGCCCCTTGCTAAGGAGCTCAACGGCCTTATGCCCCTGGGTAGAGGCCTCAGGGCGCTGGGGCCATGACCAAGTGCTGTCTGTCACAAGTCTGGCAGGGTGAGGACAGCCAATGGACAATGGCCGTGTCCCTACACTTAGGAAGAGACACACGCATTCTCCAGCTCTCCCCACCTCTCTGGGGAACCAAAGCAGAGCCCCTTTGCAGACCACGCACCTCTGCTTCCTGCAGATGGCCAGGTACAAGTACAGGAAGGCCAGCACAGCCAGGTGCTCGGGGACGGCTCGGTTCTGGGGGACGCCTGCCACTTCCTTCAGCTTCTCCACTTGCTCTGCGGTGGGCGCTGGGATGTCACCTTGGTCTGTTACAACACAAGCCAACACAGGTGGGTGAGAGGGCCTCGGGTGCTTTTATAAATAACAGAATGCAAAGAAACCAAGGTACCACTGGGGTCACAATGTGGGAGGACGTGAATTTATGGTCCAAGGGCTACAGGCAAATCTATCCATTGGGAGTAGGCGGACTTGGGTCTGGGTCCTAATTGTGCCATTCACTGGCTGGGTGGCCCTGAGCACGTAACTTGCTCTCTCTGAACCTCAGTTTCCCTTCTTGGTAAAATGGGATAACATAGTACTTCTTCACAGGGTCACCACGAAGACAAAGTTAAGTAAGGTATGTAGAATTCTTAGCACAACTCCTGGCACACCGTGAGCACTTCACTAACAGTAGTTTAAACACATACACACACATGCATGCACACACACACATGTGCACACAGAGTGTGTGGTAGCTCAACCAGAGGCTGGGCTTTCAGCATCCATTGTACAAATCCAAAATCAAAGGCAGCACTAAGTTATTCCCCAGGTGGTTCCCTCTCTCAAAAGATAATTAGCAAGAATGGAAATCTTGCAGGGCCGGGGATTTAGCTCAGTGGTTCCGTCGCTTGCCTTGCAAGCGCAAGGACCCGAGTTCCATCCCTGGTACCAAAAAAAAAAAAAGAGTGGAAACTGCAGTAAAAACGGTGTATGTGAAATGCTGCTTGGACAGGAGGGAAAGGCGAGACGTAGCAGGTTTTTCCCAGTGACATGTTGGGGCCTGGACCTCTCTCCTCTGTGATGCCAAGGAGGCTGAGCAAGTCTGACCAGCTCACCTTTAGGAGCCGCCCCGAGTCTCAGGTCAGGTTCTACAGACACATGAGATGGAGCTGGGTACACCTGTACTGAGAAACTGCAGGGCACCCATTCAGCCTTCAGCAAATAGGAGCTGGATGCATTCATGACACGTTCAGTCCAGCCAGGCCAGTGACACCTCAGAGCTCTGTGACAGATATGGAATAGGCCTTAGGGGCCAGAATCCTTTCTGTGTCACTCTCAGGCTGTGTGGCCCAAGCCCCTGGACCACTCAGCCCTGATTTTCACATCCATAAATGGGGTGAGTAACATCACCTACTTCCAGGGAAGGCTGGAGAACTATAAGGACGCTAACATGTGACTGCACTTCCTGCAGTACCTGGCATGTAAAGATGCCAATGATGGCTCACTCTTGGGAGGGAACGAAAGACACTGAAAGAAGGGTGGCAGATCCTTGAAACCTAGGAGACAACGGGTCTCAAAAGGCTCGAATTCCTTTTGTCTCCTATGTGAAGTAGATGAACAAGCCCTTCCCCACGTATTGCGCTTGGTGTCTCACCCCTGGCTCCCACCTCCAGTCCTGCTGGATCTGGCAAGCAACACTCAGATAGGCAACACAAGCCTGCTCACTGGGGCCCAGCGGGTGAAGCAACGTGCCTGTCAGGGGTCTGAGACAGGCTCATGCTAGTGACCTATAAAAGCAGCAGCTGGTTCTCAAGGAACACCACAGACAGCAGTTCCCAGGTGCTCTGGCTGGCCACTTTCCAAAACATGCTCTAAAGACTCTTGAATATAGGGTGTCCCTGGTATAACTTAGATAACTCACGCTCAAGCTCACACATCCAGCCCCTGCCAGCCCTGTCAGCTCTCCACAGCAAAAGTGAGGGCCAGGAATCCATCTGTAGCAGTAAAACAACAGCAACCTCCCCAGGGGATTCCGAGGCATGTGTGACAAGTTGAAAGATATTTGTTTTGTTTTGGTTTTTTGTGGTTCTAGGATTGAACCCAGCACTCTACCACTGAACTACATCCCCACTCTGAGATTTTCAACTGTTTCTCCATCTCCAATGGGAGTGCCTGCGGCTCCTCACAGAAAGCAGGAAGCAGGTGTCCCGGGTTCGGGTGGAGTTTGGAAGAAACCTCTACAGGATTCTTGCTGAGAGACACTGTTGCCAACATCGAGATGTCAGTCCCAAGAGGAGACAACAGACTGACATCAGAGACCACCTCTAGCTCCCGGGCTGAGGGAGACAACCAGTCTGCTTACCAGTGGCCTCTGCCTTCCCACACCACTGATACAGCACAGAGGCTCCGACTCACTGGCACAGAAAGAAAGTCCTGATGCACTGCAGGCAAAATACCTACTCATCTCTGAAGGGTTGATGTGGCCGGTCCCAATTTTGGTTAAAAAAAACCAAACCAAGATATCTCCCTATCTCAATCAATCTAACCATCCAGTTACAGAAAACAATCCAGAAGGATTAATACCAAAACGCTTAGGGTCATATTGGAGAGGGGAGAAGCAGTAACCAGTGATTTTTTGGTCATGTCCCAGTACTGACTGTATTTTTCAGAAATAGAGCTAAGTTACTTTGAAGAACTATTATTATTGTACTGGGAATGGAACCCAAGGCTTTACACATGCTAAGCATGCACTCGACACTAAGTTACAGCCCCAGTCCTATTTTTACTAATTTTTAGTTACACAAGACACCAATGTATTCATTCTCTTTGTTAAAAGCAACATATGGAAGGTAGGCTCTCTGTCCATTCCCCAGCGCCAGCATTTTCCCAGAGGAACTGATCACCACTGTCGCTCTGAGATCTATCCCCCTAGACCTTCTTCTGCACTTTTACACACTGAGCTATATATAAAAATACGTATACGCTGTTTTATATCTTGTGTTTTTTCTCTTAACAGTAAGACTCAATGGTCTGTCTGAAACAGCCCACAGAAATCTTGATTTCCTCCCTTTTTTTTGGTACTGGGGATCGAACTCGGGACCTTGCACTTTTGAGGCAGGCGGCAGAACCACTGAGCTAAATCCCCAGCCCAAACTGTGCTTTTTTTTTTTTTGTACCAGGGATCAAACTCAGGACCCTGCACTTTTGAGGCAGATGCCGGAACCACCGAGCTAAATCCCTGGCCCCCACAGGAATCTTATACATAGTTTTATACTTCTAAATTAAACATACTCAATGAATGAAGCTAATTTTATGGGGTCATGACAGAAAATACCCCTGGCGAGGCTGACTTCCGGGTCCCTTGGGGACAGCCTGGAATAACTATTCAGCTGCTCTTTCTCCCTGTCTTCAGGACTCACTCTCTAACCACATGTAGTTTTTTTCTCCTGGCACTTACCCAGAAAGCTTGTGTCCAGCAGCTGAAGGCTGGTCACATCCCACGTCTGCTTGGTACAAATGTTTGGTAAGTTCAGGGTCACTTTCCCATTGCTGTGGGGTTCAAGCCTGAGGAATGTTCTCAAATTTAAGGCCACTGCCAGTGCTACCTATAGAATAAAGGGGGAAAGCAGTAAGCTGAGAATGGGGGGCCAATTCAATGTGATGAGAAGTGAGGACAAACAGTACCACACCCACCACCCCTACCCCCGATCTTAGCAGACATTGCTAATCAACCTCAGCATGCAATCCCACCAAGCCTGGGCACAGCCACTACTATTCAATTAGGAGTCATATCTACTTATATCTGCCTTCTCCCAAGGAAAGCTTCAGAGCTTCTCAACACCAAAGAATTGCTTCCCCCAAATCACTACATTTTCAAAGAGAAATATAAATTTAAAATATAAGTTAAAGACATAAATAACAGCAGTTGAAGTGAAGGAGTAAAAAAAGCATGAGCTTTGGGTTTACTCTCAGCTCTACCAAGGTACAGGGAGCCTGGTCAAGTTGACCAATTGTTTCCTAAGCTTCAGCTTCCACATCTGCAAAATAGAATACAAGAATGTACCTCTTGGGCCAGGGACTTAGCTCAGTGGTTTCGCTACCGTTGCGCAAGCGCAAGGACCTGAGTTCAAGCCCTGGTACGGAAAAAAAAAAAAAAAAAAAGAATGTACCTCTGGGGAAGTTGTAAGAATTAAATGAGATAACATGTGTTTCCAACCCTTTTTGCAGGATCATTTTTCCAACTTCTAAACACTGGAGTGCCCCAAAGCTCAATTCTCAAAACTCTTTTTCTCGTCACCAAAGCTCATTCCCTAGGTAATTTCATTCCACTTGTACAGCTTTATGTGTCATCTTTTTGCCACCTTACTGAGTGAAGCCAGAGAAGTTCTTCAGTGGGCATGAGATCTGTCATTTCCTTGCCTGGCTGGGGAGAAAGAGGAATCCTCTCTGATCTGCTCCCAGGCTATGCCTCAGCCTCCAGGCTTCCTTTTTATCTTCTTGCAAGACTGGTACCAGGGAGAAGTGGGACCTAATTCTTCAAGGCTCTAAGGGCTTTTTACCTTGCCATGGACCACAGCATGTTCTCCATGGAGGATGACTTTCCCTGGAGCAGACACTACCAGGACTCCTGACAACATGGCTCTGGGGAATCCTAAAAGGGAGAAAAGAACAAAGGTCCCTAGATGTCAGCACCAGAAGGAAGAGATATTGGAGGAAGCCTATTTCAAGCTTGTCATTATAACAAAAAAAGCCACGTGTGGTGGGCACACATGTGACCCCAGCTCTTGGGAGGCTGAGGCAGAAAGAATGTGTTCAAGACCACCCCAGACTACATAGTGAAACTCCATCTCAAAAACAACAGTAACAAATGGCAGCTACCATTCAACACTTGCTATGTACCAGAAAGCAGTACACTGTGCCAGTTATTTGGGCAAACAAGAAAGATCTGGGTTCAGATCGTAGCTCTTTCACTCTCCAGTGATGTCATCATAGCTACGAACCTAGGTTTCCCCACACATTACGTAGGGACACTAATGCAATCAACTTCAATGGCCTGTTAGGAAGGTCAAATGAATGCAAGAGGAACCTTTAGCAGTGCCAGGCACACTAATCACTCCATTACTGGATAGTTACTACTAGCTCTGTTCTTGGCTTCAACTCTTATTACTACTACTATTGAAGGTTAAAATTTACATGAGAGCTGGGGGTGTAGCTCGGTGATGGAGCGCTTGCTTAGCATGAGCAAGGCTCTATTTTTGATCCCCAGCAACGCAGAGAGACAGGAAGAGAAAGAGAAAAAGAGAGGGAGGAACAGAGACACAGGGAGAGGGAGAGGGGGAGAAGAGAGACAGAGAGATTTACAAGGATCAGAAAGAATTCTTTCCTGGACAATGAGCCTGCTTCCTATGTATCACAATTATAAACAAGGCTGCAGAAAACACCTGTTACGCCCCATTCTGCACGCTTAAACGAGGATTAAGCGAGCAAGACAGAATCCTAGAAAGTGGTTTCCCGGGCGGGAAACTGGGTCAGAGAAGCTGGGAGCCCGGCTTGGGGTCGTCCTGGGTCTCAGACCTCGCTCCACCCGGTCGCGCGAGCCCAGCCTCTCACCTGCGGCCGCCACAGCCTTTCCACACCAGAGCCAGAGCCACTCTTAAATTCCTCCATCCCCAAGCCCCAAACCGTAGAAGGTGGCCTCTTTTTTCCGTCTAGCCAATCAGAGCGCGCGAGCTCAATACCTTTACCAATTGGCTTGAGCATTGGTCAATAGGTACTTTAGCCTAGCAGGCAAGGATCTTCCCGCCCCACTCCTCCCGTGAGCCAATGGAAAACAAGTCCCTCGGAGTGTCCCGCCCTGGTGCGAGAGCCACGGACCAATGGAAAATGGCGATTCAGAGGTGGCGCGGCTGGGTATGGGTGGAGTCACTCAGGGCTCGGACGGTAGCCTGGAGAAGTCATTCCGGGACGAGACGCCGCTTGCTAATGGCTGTGTGGGTTGTGGGAGGCCGCCTTGGCCTCCGTGGGTGCTTTGGCACCTACAGGCTGCTTTGTTCCCGTTTCCAGAGCCGCGACTCTCAGAACGTGGAAGACGAGGACAGGTGAGTGGCTGGGAGAGTAACTCGAACCCCGCCATGAGTCACGTGGTGTTGTCGCCTGGACATGTCATCCTGGCGACGTTCCCTCTGTCCTGACGTCACCGTGGGCAACTTGGAAGCCAGAGACCAGGATTTCTTTGCACAAGGCCTAACAAAAACAAGCTGTCATCAGTCAGGGCAGGGCATACCTGACCCCACGTATGCCAGGAGGATCATCATTCAGAATTTGACCTGAGTAGCTTGTTCTCAAATACATCGAGACACAAATATGATCTAAACATGGCTTTCCTCAAAGCAAACATGGCTTTACTTTGAAACTTGCACCTTCAGATTCCTAGATCTCAGGACCTGTAGAGTACCACGAATTAATAATGGTTAATGTAGCTGATAGGTCCAGTGATTTAACCTTTGAATGACCTTGGAAAATCACATTTTACACTTGATCTTGGCCAAAAGGCCGAGAAGCGATGGCAAGTCACATTTTAAATCCGACCTATATATTTAAGTTATATTGCTATTTGATTATGGCAGAGTGCAGCTCAGTGGTAGGGCATTTGCCTAGCATGTGCAAGGGCCTGAGATTGAACCCCAGCATCACAAAAAATTAAAAATTTTTAAAAAGGAAAAAAACCCTGCCTATTTTCAACCCTTGTTTTGGTAGTTCTTCATTTCTGAGTATACTTGAAGCCTTAAAGGATGAAAGTGGCCCAGTTTTCTTTCCTTCCTGAAGCCTTAATTTGGTGGTTAAAAGCAGAAGCATTGGGAGAGTAGAAGTGACCTTTGGAGTGCTGGTGTAGGATAGTCTTGGGCATGAACCCCAGCTCTGCCTCTTCCTCCCTGGGTGACAGGAAGGTGAGTCCTACTCTGTTAGCTAGTTTCCTCAATACTAAAATGAAGGTAATAGGTGGAGGTTATCTTTCGGGTTGTGGATAGATTCCAGGGATACTTCCAGGATGATGCCTGTAATCCACTATGGTGCAGAAGCTATTGGAAGTGATCAATCAATTCAGCAACTGTTTATTGAATGTCTACCTTGAGCACGTACACTACATCAGCTACTGCAGACACAGAGCTTGTCCACAAAAGGCTCGCAGCCAGAGGAGATGGAGGGCAAAGATGTCAGTAAGAGAGTGCCATCCGAGTAGTGGGTAAGTGCTGCCACTGAGTTGCTAACAGCAACTCAAGCTGGGACCCACAGATGAAGGTGCACCTCTGTGTGAGTTATACCCACTTACCAGCTCTTCGTGTTTGTTTCTCATTAGGATACAGCCTTCCTCGAAGACACCCAAGATCCCCAAGATTTACACCAAAACAGGAGACAAAGGTAGGGTAGGGACACGGGAGAAAAAGACATATGACAGACATTGCTTTAAAGTTCTTCCACCTTCTCTATGGCCAATAAAAAATATGTGACAGATCTAAATATATATCACAAAAATGTGATGTAAAATGAAAAGTGTCCCAGATATATTAAAATGATAAAAACAAATTGCAGAGCCTGGCTATCTATAATCCTAGCATGCTGGGAGGCTGAGGCAGGAGGATTGCAAGTTCAAGCCCAGCCTGAACAACTTAGAGACTTAGTGAGATACTGCCTCTAAAAAATTAAAAAGGAGCCAGATGTGGTGGTACATACCTATAATCCTAGCACTCTAGGAGGCTGAGGCAGGAGGTTTGCAAGTTCAAGCCTATCCTGGCCAACTTAGTGACTTAGTGTGATTCTGCTTCAATATAAAAAATTAAATAAAATTTTTGAAGAAGCTGGAGATATAACTCGGTTAAAAGGCCTGGGTTCAGTCTCCAGTACTATAAGAAAAAAAGGGTGGCACTGAGGATCTAGCTCAGTGTAAAGGTCTTAGGTTCAATCCCTAATACCACACACACACCCATATGTGGGATGAGAGTGTGCTTCAGTGGTAGGGGGCTCACACAACAAAAAACAAGTTTCACAATAATGCAGATACCCCAAATCCACCTGGAAAAGGAGGTGTATAGATGTGTATTCAACATGCCTGAAAAGTTATACCTTTTACACCTTGCACTGTTACCCAGTAGAAACTGAGTTGTGGGAGAGAAGAATGAACAAAAGTTTACACACTTCCATTTTTTTTTTGGTATTGGGAATCGAACTCGGGTCCTTGCACTTGTGGAGCAGGCGGCGAAACCACTGAGCTAAATCCCCTCCCTCTATTATTATTTTTTTTTTACAACAAGCACATATTACATTGATAACTTAAAAAATACCAGAATATGTTGTACAGAAAACAGATGCAGGAGAATATATCAGTAGTCAACATCATACCATTTTCTTTTCGTGGTACTAGGAATGGAACCCAGGGCCTTGAGTGTAATAGGCAAGGACTCTACCGCTAAGCTACGTCCCTAGCCCTTTTCAATTTTATTTTTAGATGGAGTCACACTAAGTTACCCAGGCTGGCCTTGAACTTAAATCCTCCTATCCTAGTAGCTAGGATTACAGGCATGGGTGATCATACCTGGTTTCAGTATGGTATCACATTCTAAAGTTTTAAAATCATGCAGATCACTACTAACTATTGATTTTTAGACTTATATAGTAAAAATATAAACATATGCATGGGGTGTACTTAATGGCACCGAGCTACATACTGAAAAAATATCAAAATGGTAAATTTTATGTTTTTTATGTTACCAAAACAACAATAAAAAGAAAACAAGGGGGGCCAGGGATTTAGCTCAGTGGTTCCACTGCCTGCCCCGCAAGCGCAAGGTCCTGAGTTCGATCCCTGGTACCAAAAAAAAAAAAAAGAAGAAAAGAAAAAGAAAACAAGGGTAGAATAATGAACGTCAGGTGGTAGTGTGAGTGCCCTCCAGCCAGAGACCTCTAGGGACAGCCTCTAGGCAAACACAGTTCGGAGAGGTGGCTTTTTGGAAGGAAGGAGATAGCCCCGCTGGGCACTGTTGGAGCCCTGGTAGGGCATGCTTCGGAGGGCTTTCTTGGGGATTGGGCTTATGTTACTGGCCTGGGGGAGGATTCAAGAAGTGGGCCTTTGCTGTGGATTGGACACTGTCAGGAAGTAGGGATAATTCTATAAATGGGTGTCTTCATTTGTTTTTGAAGGCAGGAGAGACAAAAGGTGCTAAAGCTCTGATAGCTAAAAGTGCTGCAGTCACTCACATTACCTGGGAAAGGGGGCACCTTGGCATTTTTGTCATTTAGACAGTGTTTTGTGCTCAGATGTGATTACACAGGGGCCTTGTTTTGTTTCAGTCCTGATCTGTGATCTGTCACAGTCACAGAGAGGCCTGTCTAATGGTATTCTGTGAAATCATTTATTTAGCAGAACACCACGGCCTGCCTGTGAATGCCAGGCCAGCACAGCAGCACCCACGCTGATAGTGCCAGGCGGCAACTGTCACCTAGGTGTGTAAGGACTCCAACTGTGTGTGAAGTATGGTAATAATGTAGATGTGATGTGACAGATGTTTTATTTCTTTAGCAGGATGGTTAGTGTGTGATTTTTAAGTGTGAACTAAGCATATCGGAAGAAATAAGGATAGTGGTTACCCTTAGGGGTGGTGACTGAAAGGGGGTACATGGGGTTTCCGGGGTGCTGGTCAAGTTCTGGTCTAGAGCTGGGTGCTGATCACAGAGGTCTGCTCAGTTAGTGGCAGTTCATGAGCTGTACACCTCAGATATCAACACTTTCTCTGTCACTGTTGTATTTGACATTGAAAGTTTTTTAAAAGAAAGAACAGCATATCTGGGGGGAAAATCTAATTTCGGGGGGCTAAATGTTTTTCCACAGGGTTTTCTAGCACCTTCACAGGAGAAAGGAGACCCAAAGATGACCAGGTGTTTGAAGCTTTGGGAACTACAGATGAATTAAGTTCAGCTATTGGGTAAGAGGGATGGGATCACCCTTAAGGTCCAGTGTGAACTGGGCATCAGTGAGTATCGTTACTGTGAAGCTCTCAGTCGAGCTGGGCCATCCTGGACCTTGTCCACCCTTGAACCTTCCCCAGCCAGGAAGCATGGCTGGTGAGCTCTCTGAAGCTGCCAGGCTGCAGGCACCTCCCCCTTTTGCCTCTGCCTGCACCTGTGCCAGCGTCTGTCCCTTCCCTGCCATTTGGAGCTGCCTTCCCCCTCCATCCTTGGTTCCCTTACTCTTCAGGTGAGTTGGCTGTGTCTCTGCTTCACGTGGCCTCTCTCCAGGACCTGGGCAGCAAGGCAGCTTTCCTCTGGGAAAGTACCATCATCAAGGAAGAGGGAAAGAGGTCCTGGGGAAGCTCAAACCGGCTCTTAAAGCTTCCCAGGGTGTGGCACATCCCATTTACACTTCATGGGCCAGAGCCAGCCTTGTGGCCATGCCTGACATCAGTAGGGGGGGAGAGACACACATACTGAGAACCAGAGTGACCATTGAAATACGATCCATCTCTGTGTTCTAGTGAGAATTAAATGAGATAATTCCATATTGTCCCCCAGCACAGTGCCTAGCACAAGTAATAACACTGTTACCGTAGATTTTCAGGACCAATAATGGCAGGAGTAGACGGTCTGCCAGCAGGGTAGAGAGGCCCAGGTCCTTAGGGTGTGGGGGAGAGTACAAGAGGAAGTGGGCAGAGGAGGGAAGATGAGTTCCAGCCTCAGCCATGCAGAATTAGCAGATCAGCGAGCCAGCGTCTCCCAGCTGATGTGGAGCAGGAGGTAGGTCTGGAGCTTCAGTTATGGATCCTCCCTCTGTCAGGCACTGACTGAGCACCTGTGTGTGCCAGGCTCTGCAAAACCCAGCCTCAGCCCTGCCTTCAGGGGTCCCCAGACAGACATGCCCCAGACCATCTCTCAGCAAGCAGGTATTTCTTGACAATGGCGCCCTGCTGTGACAAAGCCAGTGTCCCAACCCACACAGCCCTTCCTTACTCTCCAGAGGGGAGACAAGCACTAGACAACCAATCCTATGTTTGCTTTTGTCCTTCTGATCAGAAGATGGGCTAGGAAGATGTCCTTGTTATTCTTCATTTGCTCCTCCTCTTGTTGCTTTTCTCATTGCTGAGACAAAATACTGACACCCAAAGTTAAAGGAGGAAAAGTTTACTTTACTTTTACAGTTTGTAGGGATTTTAGTCCATAGTCGGCTGACTCCAAGGCAGGACAGCATGGCAGATGGGCATCACAGAGGAGAAACAGTCCATGGCATGGCAGTCAGAAGGGACCAACAAGCAAGCCTCCTTTTCCCTTTTATCCCATCCAGGCTACAAGCCTTTTGGGTGGTGCCACCCACACCTAGGGTGAGCATTCCCATTATCCACACCCAGAACTATGCTAAACTAACCATCTGACTGATTGAGTACCACACACCCTTAGTCATAGCATCACACACCCTAGATCCAGCCAGCTCCAAAAAGCTCCACCTATAAGCACATTAGGCTCTGTGGAGGGAACATCTAGATATAAGCCTTAACATTCTTCATATCTCTTTTCCACCATGCTCTGCTTCTCTGTGCCTGGGGGGCTGACCTTGTCACGTGGTGACCATGTCTCCTTGATTCCTGGTCTGCTGGCTTTCAGGGGCTCAGTCCATTGCAGGCAGCAGCAGGAGAGTAGAGAGAGGTGTGGGAGCACATGACCCTGACCCCAGCTGCATGGGCCTTTAGCTCCTAACTAACTCCCTGCTGTGGCTCCTGTTGTGGCCCCCAGGCCAGCACAATCCAGAGTCAGTAGCACCTTCCTCTTCCCTTGCCCCTTTGGCCCCTGCTCTTGCTAGTCTCTGCCATCTGTCATCAGTTTCCCTAACTGCTCACACCTCTGGGAATTATCCCTTTTCAAAGCTCTCCTCTGGGAATCCAATCTAGTGCACCAGTTTCCTGCTAGGCTCCTGACTGGCACAGGAAGGAAGTACAGAGTTGTGGGCGGTTTGTTCCCTCTTAATCCTGCCTTACCATGGAACTCCTACTCAGTCTTCAAAGCCCCACCTTCAGCATGCTTTCCCCAGGAAACCCTCCCTGCTCCCTGCTGAGGCCAGGTTAAGTTTCCCACATTCTGTCCTTCACAGAGCACTTAGCTCAGTTTGCAGCTTCCCGTTCACCAATGTGGTACTCAGCTCAAATGTCCCCCTCCAGCTGGATGAAGCCTGTGTCATCTTCTGTCCTCACTAAATCACCAGGGCCCAGACAGGGGAGGCACCCAAAGGAATTATTGACTGGGGATAATTTGTATAAGAAAAGGCATTTTGAGAAACAAATGCCCCATCCAAGTGGAAGCTTGTGATGTTCTTGTTGTCAGCAAGAAAAATGGCACCATGCTATTGTAACTAAATTAGCTAAATGCCTACCACCTGAGAGTGTATTGTCTTACAGCAGCATTATGCTAGAGGCAAATACTTTTTACTTTTTCCTCTTAGGTTTGCTATGGAATTAATCACAGAAAAGGGCCACACATTTGCTGAGGAGCTTCAGAAAGTAAGTACCATCCCCTCTCCCCAAGATGGGACTTTTCATCTCTACAGCTTGGTGGCCATAACTCGATTCATCCTCTGACCGTTACTTCTTTGAGTCACCCAGGGCTAGACAGTCTTCCTCAGCAGGCCTCAGTCTCTTCACCTGTAAAATGGGAGCATGCACAGTTCATCCTCCCTCACAGGCAAGGGGTGAGGATCATGCTGAGGAAGAGGGGTGCATGGTATAGCAGTTCCCAACCTCAGGTGATCTGCCCTGCAGGGGACACCTTGGCAGCCATTTGGGATGATGCTTTGGGTTGTCACATCTGGAGTGGGAGTGCTGCTAGTGTTTGCTGGTACAGACCAGGAGTGCAGCAAGGTCTCACTGCACAGGACACCGCCCGCCCCCCCCCCCCCCCCCGCCCCGGCCCGGGGATCAGACAGAGAGAGAGAGAGAGGGACACAGGCAGGCAGGCAGGCAGGCAGGCAGGCAGGCAG